TTACAATCCTCAGCCCCAGGGAGGCTGGGTGGCAGGGAGGACTCTAAGAGGGATGAATGGATCTCCCTGGGAAGAGGAGGTGGATGGAATGTGCTGGGTAAACTGGGGGCAGGGTGGTAGAGGGAGTAAAGGGGAAAGGATGGGGGATGGAAATATCGGGAGTTGTGGGCTGAATAGAGGCGGGTGATGGGGGAGAAGTCTTGATAGAGGGGCCTTTGTGGGGTTGAGGAGAGACATGGAGCCAGGGAGGGAGGTTCCTGGGAGCCCACAAGGACGACCCCAGTTAGGAATCCCGGCAGTGGTGAGGACGGTCCTTTACTGGCCTTGCCCTGTGATCAAATTGGTTAGTGGTTGTCAGGGTGGAGACTTAATCCAGAATCAGATGGAGGCAGATGCACAGATCCACAGCCGGGCTCCCGGAGTCCAGTTGAAGAGAGAGTGGAGGGATCATATGGTGGGTAGGGGCGGGGAGTGCTAGAATTCTGATGGAGAAGCCAGCAGAGATAGCTGACATGAGCTTGTGGGAACTCAAGGATTCTGGATGGACTTCTGGGGAGCCAGCTTGGGACTGACCTAGGGTCTCTGCATCCAGGGGGTGATGATTGTTTGGCTTAGTCTTTTGTGGGGCCCCTAGTGGTGGGACCAGGAGCTGTTCCTGATGCATGAGCTGGCTCTTTGAAAACTATTCCCTGTGCTGGGGTGCCTTGTTCAGCCTGGTGCAGCAGGGAGGAGTTTGGACCTGCCTCAGCTTGATGTGCTGTGCTTTGTTGATTCCCATGGGAGGCCTTCCCTCTTCTAAGTGGAGATGAAGGAGAGGGTAGGAGTGGGGGTGAGGGAGAAGTGGGGGAAGGGAGAGGAAGGAGAGAAGGGAGGGGAAACTGTGGTTGGTTTGTAAAATAAATTTAAAATATGATGAAAATGGAAGTTATGGCTTTTGCTTTAAGAAGTTTCCAGATCAAGCATTTATTTATTAAAATAACGTTTTAGCACTTATTACCAATGAAGAGTTGCCCTCCTGCTGTATTTTGGAATAAGGAGATGGTCTCATTTCATGAAACATAAAGCATTAGTGTATCTGTTTGATAAGATACTGGTGTGTGTTCCCTGTGCTGTTGTGGGAATAGCAGTGGAAGAATTAAACAGAGACTATTGCCATTGTGCTACAAGCATTCTGCACAGACTGGAGTATGATCTGACAGCTGAAGATGACCTTGATGTTCTGATCCTCCTGCCTCCACCTCCTAATTAATGGGATGATGGGCATGAGTGATGCTGTTGGCCCTCTTTATGTGGTAGTGGAGTATTGAAACCAGGTCTTCATGCATGATAGATTCTCACTACACACACACTTCTGTATCTCCAACATCAAAAGAAGGAATTTCTTCCTGCAGACTGAATGACTATTGAGAGAGGAGAAAATTAAAAGTAAAAACTCTGTGAGTTTTTCCTGAAAAACTATAGCTTTAATATGTCTATAAATTTAAAGAATTACTTTTAATTATTTGTGTGTGATTGTGTCTGAGTTTGTGTATGTGTATGTCTATGTTTGTGTGTGTGTGTGTTCATGTCTGTATCTGTGTGAGTTTATAACTGCACCAGGCAGAACAGGACATCAGATCTCCTGGAGCTGGAGTTACAGGAATTGTGAGTCAGCTGACATTGGTGTTAGGATAAAGTATCACATGCTGTTAAGGGCTCTAGTCATCAAATATTATAGTTTTTACCTATGAATAATCAGTTAGAAAACTCCTCATCAACTAACAAATTGGTTTTGTTCAATCTTACCCAAAAGCAGTATTACTTTTCCGGTTACTGAGAAGGTTCAAAAGTATTTGAACACAAGGATCTCTTCTCATATTTTATCAGGGACCCAGTGTTCCTGAAAACTGCTGAAGTTGGCCACAGGGATCACAGTTTGTAGCCTGGCAGGGAACATGTGGTCACTATAAATGTCATTTTGAGGTTGTTGAGAGCTGGTGAGGCTTGAATGTGCTTTTATGGGTATCCATCATCGATGACAACTGCCATGGGACAAATTATTAAGAACATTGTGTTTGTGTTTTTCTCCTTGTAAATGTGCCCTATGAGCATGCACTGTGGATTTATATAAGGTGTCAGGACAGCAGAAGAGATTCTTCTTCCCAGTCCAATAACAACCCAGTGAAGGAAATGAGTTACCAGTGAATTTCAGGAAAACCGTAACTTGTTTCTGGGCATCTTTACCTCTGCTTGAGTCACTTTGACTTGAAATTTACTTAACTTTCATTGATCTTCAGTATGGAGAAACAGGACTCAGTTTTCTCCATCTTTGCTTCTGTAACAATGCTAATTTTTGTCAATATAACCCAACGAAAACAATGAAGGATTTTCCTCATTGAATTATATAATGAATATAGTTCTTGTTGGAAAGATACGCTTAGTATGTCTTATGAGAGAGTAAAAAATGTGCAAAGGGAACAATTAGAACTCATTCAAATCTTAAAATACTAGGTTAGATACTAGCTTAAATATTAAAAAGCTCCAAAGCATAAATTCAGTGTTGGTTGTTGTGGTCATTTTGCTTTACAATTGATCACTGTGCTACAGTGGATCGCTCATGGTATTTAGTCAAAACATGATAGCAAGACACCAAAGCTTTCCAGTACTGTTATTTTACAAACAATAAAAAAATGTACATTGAGAATACATACTCATGTGTAGAACAAATTGTAATTGATCTTATATTGGGGTTAATGCTGGAAGAGGAGTAAAGGAACCAGCCACAAGAGAGACCTTTTGAATCCTCAGAACAAAGAGGAGATCCTATCCCTATGAATCCTTAGACTGAATGCAATGAGCTTCTGTCTCCTCCTATCTTATATTCTTCTCTCTGCCCAGCCATATCACTCCTGTCTCCAACTCCCTATAGCTGGGATTAAAGGTGTGAGACACCACGACCTGGCTCTGTTTGTTTCTCTTTCAGACTGGATCAATCTTGTGTAGCTCAGGGTGGCCTTAAACTGCATGCCTCTGCCTCCCAAGTGCTGAGGTTAAAAGTGTGTGCCACCACTGCCTGGCCAATATGGCTAACTAGTGGCTAGTTCCAAATTCTGATTTTTCAGGCAAGCTTTATTGGTTAGATCACAAACAAAATATCACCACACTCATGCCTAGAAAGAGACCTGTTTGCTATCAATGGCTAGCTCTGTGTAACTGTATGGTACATTCTGCTCTATGTGCACCTATATTGAATGTGTAGATTATTTTTGGTAGGATGGCTTTTTTTTTTTTAACTATATCAATTCTATCAATCCATGAGCACTGGAGATCATTCCAACTTCTGATATTTTCTTCAATATGTTCAAGTTTGTATTGATACAAGTCTTCCACTTGCTAGCTAGAATTACCCTAAGATATTTTACTTATTTGAGGCTATTTTAAAAGGTGTTATTTCTTTCTCACTCCATTTGTCATTTGTATATGTAGGAAGGTTACTGATTATTGTGAGTTGATTTTGTATTCAGCTGTTAAGTTGCTGATATTCATAGATACATTTCTCATTAAGTTTTGGACCATTGGTTTGGGGACTAATGTTAGAAAATGGAAAGGCTCACTATAGGTCAAGAAGCCAAGAGATAGAAATCAAAGTCAGAAGGAAAGAAAGAGCCTCAATGCTAAGTGGGCCTTTGTGAAGGGGAGGACATGAGCACCTCCTCTTCCAGACCCTCTGTACAGCCATGAGAAGGTGCTGAGCACTAGCATAAGAAATATTTGGCAGTCACTGGCTCTGTACATTGGTTCTTGGAAGGGAGGCTTATGCCACAGAGATTATCCTGGCAGTGAAAGCAGAGCTTGTCAGCAACAAACTGGAAGACCCTTGAGCAGCAATAATTAAAAGTTACTAGTAAATTCAGGAAATTCAATTAAAACAGAAGGATTCTTGTGCCTTGACACTGGGGGACTGATAACATTAGTCATGGCTCTGAGTCATTTCCCCAGTGTCCTTTCTGGATGCTAAAGGCCGGCATTCTGGGTTGTCAAGTGCAGGGCCTTCCCATGAGGTTCTTTCTTTCTTTTTTTTTTCTTTCTTTTCTTTCTTTCTTCCTTTCTTTCTTTCTCCCTTTCTTTCTTTCTTTCTTCCCTTCTTTTCTTTTTCCAAACAATCTTATTTATGTACCAATCTACCACTCTCAATTCCCTCTCCCTCCCATCATTTCTCCATGCCACCCCCTTCATTCCATTTCTCAGAGAGGGTAAGGCCTCTTATGGGGAAATCATCAAAGTTTGTCACATCATTTGAAGCAGGACAAAGCCCACCATCCCCACCCCATATTTACACTGAGCAAGGTATCCCTCCAGAGAACAGGCTCCAAAAAGCCAGATCGTGCACTAGGGATAAATATTGGTTCCCCTGCCAGCAGCCCCACAGCTGACACCCATGGTTGGGTCTTACTCCAGTTCCCCAGCTCTCAGTCTGGAGTCTGTGAGCTCCCACTTGCTCAGGTTAGATGTTTCTGTGGGTTTCCCCATCATGGTCTTGACCCCTTTAATCATCACTCCTCCCTCTCTACAAATGGATTCCAGGAGTACAGCCCAGGTCTTAGCTGTGAATCTCTGCTTCTGTTTCTATTAGCTACTAGATGAAGTCTCTATGATGACATTTAAGGTAGTCATCAATCTCATTATAGGGGAAGGACATTTAAAGTACTATCTCCACTATTGCTTATCTTCTTAGTTGGGGTCGTTCTTATGGATTCCTGGGAATTTCTAGAAAGAGATACCTTGATAGAGGGTTCCATTATGGGTTAAGGAGAAACCCATACTTTTTCTTCTCTTCAGAAGGAAACAGTCCACCATCTCCCTGTCCTTCTCGGCTCTACCTCAGAGTTGTTAAAGACAAATATGGCAATTGTTTAAAGTATTTCTATATATGTTTTTGAAAAGTAAGCTATTATAAGGAAGAACATTAATTAATAAATATATGTAAATAATATAATTAATTATATCAACTTCTCTTTCAGAAATTGATGAGAAGAGGGTGAACACTCAAGAAGTAAGTTTTCCTACATTTTGTGTTAATGTATTAAAACACAAATAACTGATAATATCTCTGTGTTTTTGCTTTGTTTTTCTTGTCTCTCACATACTCCACTGAGCTACATGCCCAGTCTAGCATATTCTTTGGAATAGAGTTCTTTGGTGTCAATCTATATCAATGTTAATGTGTGGGTGATAATAGATAAGTAACACAAACAAATGACATAAATAAAGGTCACTGTGGTATAGAAGGTATTCAGGTTGCTTTTCCTGAATGGGCAGGAAAATGGTATGGTGAAAATGTCTGCCTTAGTTACCTTGCTTCTAGATGAAATGCTAAATCCCACAAAACTTTCTAAGTTAATGCTTTGATTTTAGTTGTAAGATATGAAACTGATAGCTTTGATTTCCTGAGTGATTATATATAAACATAATAAGCAGGGCTAGGCAACACTGAAATTCAAGTGTAGGGAGATGAAGGCAGTGTCAGGCACATCTTAGAAGGTCTTCAGCTCTTTAGGGCCAAAGTCAGCTCCATAGTTCAAGTGTGAGGAGGGTGAGTTCCTCTAGAGTGTAGAGCCTTGGTAACCAGAACTGATGGTTTCACCAGATAACATGTTCAGATGCAACCTCAGCACCAGTCTGAACACTGTACATCTATTACATACTCCATATCTAAATTAATAATTGAGATAGGAAGTAGGAGGCAGGGAAGACTTGGGGATCTGATAGATTAAATATGAAGAAGTGAAGTAGGTCCAGTAATATAACAAATAGAGAATGGATGGGCTGTAGGTGTAAGCAGTTTCCATGATCATGAGTAAGAATACAACACCCAAGGAGGAAATTCTAGACAGTGCAAAATACCACATAAAATTTCACACAATTAATAGTTTACTGGGAGTAAACGATAAAATGCTTTGAAAATTAAGCACTTATGTAAAGTAGGTTTCGTTATATTTCATCATTATCCTACTAAAAGACAACAAGACACTTCCATAGAAATAACTTTGGATGTTTAATCTTAGAATGTGTATATGGGAAAATATACAAGGAATCCCAGAGGTAGTAGCTGCTTATCAAGATCAGTCTCACATGACTGACACAAGAACAAATGGTCTCCAAGAGTCATCAATCACCCACACAGTTATTGTTAATGTGACTGGTACAAAAGAAGTGTTACAAAGAATGTGCCGGCTTGGCATATGGCTTGATAGAGAGTGTGCCTGTGTGTGAGACCCTGAGTGTATCCTCAGTATAAGAAGGAAACAACCTCTGGAGTAGCTTCTTCATTTGCTAAGCATTTGACAAGTTTTTTTTTTTTAATTTTCTTACCTTTATTTTTTGATAGATGTATTTGCATCAATGAATACCAATACCTGGATGATGATTTTGAGGACAATTTAGTTTGCATAAATATGCCTTAAGTTTAAAGTTTACAAAATAGTTTCTATTTTGTTTCAAACTTTACACCTCATGTTCTTTCTTATGTGCACTGGAAACATAAAGCCACCCTTCAAATACATCTTGTAATATTTTATACTTAAGTTTTCCTCAGCAAAGATCACTGCAGACACTAGAACTCAATGATTAAGACCCTTCCCTTCAACACTTTAGAATATAAATCAATGTCATTTTCAAAACGTTTTCCAAGTCTCATGTAGCCTCAGTGTCACTGGACGGTAGTGGCTTGCCTTGAACCTCCTTCTGCCACTTCTCTAGTGAGAGGATTACAGACACACACAGCTATGTTTATGAAGTGGTGGAGACCAAACACAAGGCTTCATACACACTAGGCAACACTATATTTCTATCCTTTCAATAAATATTAGTGTCAGAAATATAAATAAATAATACATTGTATTATTATATTGTATCAATAAATGCACATTGTTAAAAAGTCATTTGAATATAATCTGATTAGTGACTGAACTATATAAATAACAAGAATAAATAATATCTCCATATGATTACAGAACAGTGGGTTTAACCATGAAATATGTTCTTACTTTTATCATTTTAAAAAGTAAAACCTCTTAATAACCTTATCCTGATCTGGTGTATTTAGGTAACAAAAATATGGAACAGGTTTGATAACAAAGGACTTATCTTTTGGACAAACAGAGGACTATTACCTTAACATTTTAATTCTGAGTAAGGCAGGGCTTAGATTGAATGTGGGAATTCAAGATTTTGGGTTTCTTTTATGAATGAAGGACCCTTTGGAACATTAATTACAGAGGCAAAAAAAAACATATACACATAAATATTGTGTATATGTACATATCTATATGTTATACCACTGGAATATTTTTGAAGTATACTTTGTCTCAGAACTCTTATCTCTCTTGCATTTAGATTAATGTCCTTTTATCTCCTGAAAATAAACTAAGTGTAGGCACTGACTCTTGTCACCAAGTCTGACACCCTAGGTTTGATCTCCTAGACCTGTATTGTGAGAGGAAAGAATCGATTCTACAAATTGTTCTATGACCTAAACACATGCAACATGGGATGTGCACACCCACACAGGTATACAAAAATGGACAAATAAGCAAAAAAAACAAAAATAAATAAAGCAATAAAATCACACACAGTAATGTTAAACTAATGTTAATAATGAAAATTAAAAGCATGAAAATTTTATGATAAACAGACTTTTGGCTTTATATAGCTCAGAGAGAGGTCTATTGAATCACTGAGCATGTATGTAATTAATTATTAGAGCTCTGCTTCTTGACAGGGAGATATCAGGAAGCCCTTTGAGATACATGTGTGATATCTACATCACATCTGACAGTAATATACTTGTTAACCCATGTCTAACACTTTCTATTTCCTTGTTCACAGTCGCAGAATGCATCACCTAAGCAAAGGAAGCAGAGTGTGTACACACCACCTGCCATGAAAGGTATTGTTCAGGTGCCATTTTGGGGTGATGGATGTCATGAGTGATGGATGTCAGGACTGGCAGGCTGTATGTCCCTAAGGCTGTTCATTAGATCATATGCTTGTCTCAGCTCTGCCACTCTCAACAGAGTGGTGATTGGGAAGACATTAACATCTTTGAAGCATTTTTGCAGTTGAAGAATTGATGACTGTGAAATCTGACAATCTTGGAATGGAAAAAGCAATTCTCAAAACAGTGTCAAAGATTTTTGTCTTTTACCTTTCCTTACATCTTTTCTTTGAGAGAATTTTCCCCATAATCTTTAATTATTCATACTGACTGGCATATGATTATCAGGAGGTGTCCCCACACCTCTTAACTTAAGCCAAGCAGGAGAGTGTGAGTTAGATGGAAATGGAATGTCAAGGTTTGCCTTGTGTCAGGAGTGGGTCTGCTGAATCCAATCTAGCACCAATGTGCTGTACTCCTAACAGCTCCCCAAATGACAACGGAGAATGCTAGCTCAGATGCTGGCATTTTCCCAGAATTTTTCTTCAAAATGGAACTGACAAGTAACATCTAAGTGTATTAGTATTTTGACCAATACTAGTTCTAAGAAAGACTTCTTTTCTTTTTCACACAAAAATGTTCCTGACACAGGCCGTGTATGTTCAGGCCAGGATCTTGCCTTCCAGCTTGGCTCCCTGGCTGTTGCCCCTCACCCCCATTCTGCTTCAGTGCCTCAGAAGCCAGCAGGGAAGCTTAGAAGTCTAAACTGAGAGTGAGCCTTTCCACTTTTTATTCTCTTTCCAGGGAGGTGGACCCATAGCTACTCTCAGTAAACTTCCTTCCCATGTATGAAAGGCTGTCTGTACAAGGATGAGTAAATAATGCATTCATCTGAATTGAAGTTTATCCCACAGTAATTACTGAAACTCCTAGGCATCCTTGTCTAAAGATTGGTGCAGCATGTTAAAGATATTTCTTCATTGTGAGTGATTTGCATTCTTCAAGACATATCAGTTTTGGCATGAATGGACAACAATGAAAGATGCATGTGCAGTTTCCCAATTCTTTCCTCTGTTTTTATTTTGGGATAGCTTGAGCTAAATAAAGCAGTCCTCATGTCCTCAGAGAATATATTATTTTGAAAGGAAAATCTTAAACTCCAAGGCCTAAGGGGCCATGGTCCTCATTATTTTTAGCTCTCAAATATCTTAAGAATGTAGGATTCTAGCATTTAGGGAAGTGAGTCCTACCAAAGCGTTTTTAATATAACTTTGCACTGTGGAGCCATTGTTCTTTGACAACCACCATCTACAGTAATGAGGTAAAGCCTTAAGGAAGTACAGCCATGTTTTCAAGAAGGGATCTGAGTACTGATACAAGTCACTTAGTGAACATCACTGTGTGAGTTTTCAGCTGTGATAGAAGAAAATAAATGATTTCCTCCATCTATCCGTGCCTAAGAGTTGGAAATGTGTCTGAAGACCAATTGAACCATAACATATGGTCTATTGTAACACATGGTCTTTTGTGAACGCAGTGACCAGATTTGATTATAAGAAGAGTGGCTAAACAAAGGGAGTGTTCTTGAGATGGTAAACACATTAAAACAGTTGCCCCAAAATGTAAAGTTCTTCAGATTGCAGGGGGTCACTGCAATAAGTGAAAATAAATGGTTTGCTGGGAGTGTAGAGCACCAACAGAGGTAGCAAACAGTTGTGAAACAAACAAAAAACAAAACAACAAAAACAAATTATGCCTGAAATTTCCTTCATTCCTCAAAACTTAATTCTCTTAGTGCAACAGATATCTAATTAGTTTTTGCTAGCATCCATGTACATTGTTGACACATCGCGAGCTGACTATGAATCTAAAGTTTCTGAACCTCTTTTTGTACTGATTTCCATAGTCACTAATCATTTCTCACAGTAAAATTAAAAGCCTTTTTTGCTCCAGCAAAATGGAAGTCAACACTGTCATCTCAATAGGATTTTCTGCTTCTAGAAAGGGGGGCTGTTGGATTGACACATCATAGTCAGTCCATTATGTGTTCCATTATCTCAGTGGTGTGTCATCCACAGAAAAAGTACATTTCTCCTTCATATTCTTAGTCCAAGTCATTGACAAATCTATAAAACAGAACAAAAAATGCAGACAGAAAAAGGGAGAGTCCTGGTACACAGACACTCACTCTGACTGCCACAATGTAGTGATTATCTACCACACATAACAAAATGCTGTTTTTCAAATCAAAGGTTCTCAGAGGAACTCGTTTTTGATAGGATGATGAGTTTTAGATATTCTGTGGTCACCACACTTTTTATAACTATACGGATCAATCATAAATTTAAGATGTATATTATACTTTAAAATGACAGAAGTTGACATTTTCATTGAACACACTTACTTTTCCCTCACAGCATAATCTAGTGTTTTATGATCAGATAAGCAGAAAGTTCTGAAGATTACCATAAAAATGACAGCTGATGACTGGAGGTCCCTGTACACTTTCCTGTCATTTATGTGATTGTCAGCCTTCAATTTACAGAACAGCCAATTAAACTATTGGGTTGCTTGAATCTTGTTTTCAGAGAGCAAAGTGAATTTGAATCCTGGCAAAGAAAATGGCTGATTCATTTCCATCCGCGCGTGCGTGTGCATGTGCACGTGTGTGTGTGTGTGTGTGTGTGTGTGTGTGTGTGTGTGTCTTCTACTGGAATTCAAATGTGTTTTGCTGCAAAGTAAGTGCTATTGATTTAAATGGAAACCTGAACGTTAAACATAGGAGCAGATAGAAAATGCACTTACTGTGGCAGAGCCCATTAGCATTATATTTCTGTTCTTAATGTACAGCAAGCCATATGCTTCATTTACTTCAGGAAAATATCTTCTTTCTAATTTCTTGTAAAGGAATATTTTAGTTGCTTCAGTGTCCTGTGATTATTCTTCTGAGTTGATGTACTAGATAGATTTTCAGATGTATAAGGCCGTTTTAGCCCTAAGCTTTTATTTTTAATTTCTCTGAAGATGGCTTCAATCATGAATTTTTAATCTTAATTCAGTCTCCTCTCATAAATAGAGCAATAAATGAAATTAAGGAAAAACTCAGTGTAGAAATCGAATGACCCAGTAAGAAGGCTAAAACGGTTTTAAGGAGTGGGGCCAAAGGTTGTGGCAAGCGGTATGAAATATTACTGAAGGATGATCCATCTTATCTTCAGGTGAAGTTGCTTGTCATGCTTATTTCAGGGAGCCAAGATGAAAGCACATGGGTTTTGAGTGACAGCTCATCAACGTCCATAGCTTAGCATTCCCAGTTGTGACCTGCACGGCCTTCAGAAAATCAGAGTCAATCTTTTTTGTCTTCTCTCATTGATGAAAGGGAGATGATCTGGAATAAATTGCTAGGGAGACTGAAGCAAGATGTGAACTGATAATACTTAAAGCAGGCATACCATATGTGTGTTCATTTTAAGTCATTATTTGGACCCTCAGTGGAGAACGAGGTGCAGCCATGTTCATTTCCATCCAGGTCTTCGGAGTTCAGCAGTGAGGATATGGGGAAGCATAGCCATGGCTGGAAAAACGATGAAAAATCCTGCTGCAGATCTGACCTTGCCCAACGCAAATGAAGTCAGCTCTAAGGATACCTGGTCCTATACAGCATAGGTTCATCACATCTTTCAAGGGAGACCAAGATTTTATTTAGTTCAGTTACAGCCAGACTTAGAAAGTTTATATATATATATATATATATATATGTATGTATATATATATATATATATATATATATATATATATATATATATATTCTGGTTCCCTTTCAACACAATCTAGTTGTAGCTTCATTTTACTCATCGGCTCCTCACAGCTGCCACACCCTGCTTTCCCAAGTAAACCAATGGAGCAGTTAGACATAGTGATACCTAAGTTTCCAGAAAGCATAGGAATGAAGTGTTGGCTGTGGTGAATTTGGGTGCAGGCACAAAATGTGCACTAACCATGAATTGTCAGGGGATGGAGTAACCTACAGATACACAACTCAAAGGCTGTGGGGTGAATTAGCAATCACTGTATCTTGATTGTCACTCAGGAAGTCCTCAGAAGGAACCAGTCAGCATCACACTTGTCTGCCTTTACTAAGTACTGTATAGAAACTGAAGGCAAGGAGAGAGGGGGCGGGGCATTTGAGCTGCTTCCCAGGGCATCACTACCCCATCTGTCTCTTGACAGCCTTCCTAATGCTTCTACCCTTTAATACAGTTCCCCATGCTGGGGTGACACCCAACTATAAATCATTTCATTGCTATTTAGTAACTGTAATTTTGCTAATGTTATGAATCATACTATAAATATCTGATATGTGACCCCAGAGGAATTGTGACCTTCAGGTTGAAAACCATTGCTTTAGAGAATTTCTGACTTTTTGCAGCTCCTCTGCATGTATACTCATCACATCTGTTATTCTAAGTCATGGGTTTTGTTGTTGAGGCTGTTTTGTTGTGGGTTTTTGGTTTTGGGGGGGGTTTTTGTTGTTGTTGTTGTTATTGGTGTGTGTGTGGGGTTGTGTGGTGTGCTAGTTTAATTTATTTACTATGCAGGCCAAAGTTCACTTGTTCAATACAAGATTTCTAGTTAACAACACACATTCTAAATATACACAAATCTTGCTCCTTAAAAAAAAAAAAAAAAGTATGCTTCTATTTCTAGACCCACTTCCTTAGCTGCTCTTTAATTACTTCCTCTGAGTTTCAAACTTATCTTCCCTCATATCTTTGAAAATGGAGGGTGGATTCAGGATGGAGAATTAAAAATGTAACCCTCTCAGAAGTCAAGTTAAGACAGCTTTTTCTTTCTTTCTTTTTTCCTTTTTTCTTTTTTTTCTTTCTAAGATAAACATTGAGAGAGAATGGAGCAAAAAGGGATCACAAGCATAGCCTTCTTGTTATGTAGTATCAACACAGACTACTAGTTTGAGGATTAAATAACTGAGAGTTGTGTTAAACCTCAAATTG